GAGGGCAGGAAAGAGCACTATGTCCCCTGGAAGTGGAGTTACAGATGGTTGTAAGCTGCCATGTGGTACTGAGAATTGAACCCAGGCTCTTCACAAGAGCATTATCAAGTGCTCTTTACTACTGAGCTACCTCTCCAGCCCCTCAATCTAGTTTTCAGTGTACCTCTTACACTTACACAGGGACTATTCCAGGTGAGACAATTCCAGGTTGATCTAACCAATGTTGTCTCCTCTGTCCAAACACATTAAGTGTAAAAACACAAGATCATGGCCAAGGTATCTGATTTCCTGCCAAATTAGGGCTGCTGTCCACACCACAAGTTCTCTGAGGTTGAAGGGAGAAAAAGGTCACTCCAGGTTTTTTCAGCCACACAGACAGACAGAAAGGAAGGATATATTTTTGATAAATAGAAAATGTAAGTCTGTTAGAGGGTGCGAGCACAGAACAAAGCAGATGCAGGAATGATACAGTCAGTGCCAAAGAGCAAAGCACTGGGAAATGTGTCATCTCCCAAGAGATGGTCTGGCAGTTACTGCACACGCCGCAGCCGAGGACCCGAGTTCAGTTCCCAGCACCACACAGGGTGTCTCACCCTCCTGTAACTCTAGCTCCGGAGCATCCACTGTCCCTTCTGGATTCTTCGGGCATCTGTGTTTACAGGTGAACATACCCCCCCAGTCAGACATACACACATAACTGAAAATAAATCATTTTGACTGGGCAGTGATGAGGCACACCTTGCCTTTTAATCCCAGCACTCAGGAGACAGGCAGGTGGATCTCTGAATTTGAGGCCAGCCTGGTATATGGAGTTACTTCTAGGACAGCAAGGACCACTGAGAAACCCTGTCTCGAAAAAACAGCAACCAAAAAAAGAAAAGAAATCCCTAAATATATACATACATACATACATGTGTGTACATACCCACATGTCTACCCACATGTACACACACGTGTGTATGTGTGTGTGTGTGTATGTATGTATGTATGTATGTATCAAAAAGGAGAGTAGTGGCCAGCCAGATGGCTTAGTAGGCAAAGGCACTTGCTGCCAAGCCTAACAACCAGACCTCCATCTCCAGAACCCACAGGGTGGAAGGAAAGAACCGACACCAGCTAGTTGTCATCTGACCTCCAAAAAAAAGTCCTGAACCTACAAACACACACACACTAAATAACTTTTAGGAACTGAGGCAATAACTCATCAGTTAAGAGGATTGACTGGGGGGAAGCTGAGGGAGAAGGCTTCAATCAGGATATATAATGAATAAATTATGAAAAAAAATTAAAAGAGGATTGGCTACTCTTCCAAAGACCAGGGTTCAACTCCCAGCACCCATCTGTAATTCCAGTTCCAGGAAATCCAAGGCCTCCTCTGGTCCCCGAGAGCATCAGGCACAGATGTGGCACACAAACATACACGTAGGCAAAACATCCATACATATCCAAACATAATAAAACTTTAAAGAGAAGGAAGCATGTGAGGAAGCACATTGGAGTCAAGATACTGAGCCTTTAACCTGTGGGAAATAAGGCATTGCTGAATGGCTAGAGAAGAAAATAAATTCTAGATGAGTTGGGGATAGTGAAATAAAAAACAATTGGGCCAGCACTTAGGAGGTAAACGCTGGAGGACAAGGAATGCAAGGGTATGTGAGCCTGTCTCACATAAATGCATAAAGGTAAAGGCAAAACAATAAAAGCAAAAAACCCACAATTTGTCAATTTAGAAATCAAGTTAACTACTGATTGAACTTAACTACATGAAAAAGGGTATTTTCTTTTCTTTTGTTCTCTTTGTAGCCCTGGCTGTACTGAACCTTGCTTTGTAGAGTAAGGTTGCCTCTGTAGTGAGAATTGTGTGATTTTGATTTCTTTTAAGAACCCAGAAATATTATGGGAACATGTTTTTGTTTTAATCCCAGGTGTGGGGCTATGGTGCTGCTTCGCAGCAGCCGACTATGATTTGCTTCGTGCTCTGGCAGAGGCTTGGTTTTGCCAGCTGCAGAGTTTCTGTGAGTGTGTGCCATTTGGAATTCTGAAGACTTTTCAGAGGAGATATGAATGCCAGAGCCCCAATAGGTGGGTGGCTGGTTGGTGGTTGGATGCTGTTGGTTGCAGTTTGTCAAGTGATCATGTGCAAAAAAACAAGGAGAAAAAATTAGATATCCTGACAGCGAAGATCAAACTTGCCCCAAAGGTTGCCCCTAATCAGCAGGAAGTAGTCTAATGATAATGCTGCCTTTCCCTCTATCCTTTTTTCTCTCTCTAGTGTTAGGGGGTTAAAAGGGTGGAGAAGGGTAGAAGAAAAAGGAACCCATTAAGTAGCAAACACCAGCTTTAGGCCTCAAACTGAGATCCAATTGCCTTGGTCTTCCAGGTGCTGGAATTAAGAGCATGTGCCACCATACCAGGCTGAAAAAGTTTCTAATCCAATTCCATTCCAGAACTGAAATTGAGTGGTTAGAAAGTATCACTGACTACGAATAACATGCCTACTCTCAGCTGGGGGGGGGGGCACATCTGTAATTCCAGCACTTGCTTGTGGAGTTGTTTTGATTTTGTTTGCTTATTTTTGAGACGAGGAGTCATTATATACCCACCCACTGGCCTGAAACTCAGAGACCTGCCTGCCTCTGCCTCCCAAATTCTGGAAATAAATGTCTGTGCAACAGGTATAGCAAATCCCAGTAATTAAGAAACTAAGACAGGAGGATCACCACCAGTTCAAAACCAGCCTGGGCCACATAATGCGTTCTAGCTATTACAGACTATAAAAAAGAGACATGGGGGGGGGGGGGCACAGAATGGCAACAAAACAGCACCAGTTCAAGACCAGCCTGGGCCACATAATGAGTTCTAGCTATTACACACCACAAAAAGGAGATATTTTGGGGGTGGGGTGGCAGAACAGCAAATCCCAGCTGTCAAAATATAATGCAAAGAATGCCATTGTAAAAGATTTCAGTTTTGCCAGGTGTAATAGCTCACACTGTCAATCCCAGCACTCTGAAGGCCAGGGCCACAGAGAAGACCCTGCCCACCCTCACACCCCATCCCTCCAAAAAAAGCAAAGAGGAGCTAAGGATATAGATCACTGGTTAAGTGCATGCTGGACTGAGTTCAAATTCCAGCTAACAGCTGGACAGATGGCTCAGCGGTTAAGAGCACTGACTCCTCTGCCAACAGGTCCTGAGTTCAATTCCCAACAACCATGGTGGCTCACAACTATCTGTAATGGAATCTGTTTCCTTCTTCTGGTGTGTGTGAAAATGGAGCATTCATATGCAGAAAATAAATAAATAAATAAATAAATAAATCTTAAAAAAAAAAAAAAAATCCCAGCAAACAAAAAGAAGCAAAACAGGCATGGAAGCACAAACCTGTAATCCCAGAATCTGGGAGGTAAGAGGACTGACTTAGACTGAGGCTGGGAAGAGAAAGGGAGAGACAGACAGACACAGCAACAGTCTAAATAGCAGAATTTCCAGACAATGAAAGCTTACTGATTAAAGCAAGTAAGAATAGCAGCAGCTCTTTTTCTAGTTATTTAAATACAGATAACTAACTTCTGATTTAAAAGTGTTCCTGAAGAGTCTTTTGTAAGGTCTACCTCTGTATAGTGTGGCAGCAGAGAATTAATAAACTGTCCAAGAGGCATTTCCAAATCCAGCCTCTCCAAAATCCTGCTAGTGAACAGCAAGGATCTGAAGGAATAAATAGACTCCCAGCTGCTGAGAGAAAATGCTTCCCTAAAACCAAAGCAAAATTCTCATTAATGAAAAATCAACCACTAAAGAAGGAAAAAAAAAAAAAACCCTATCTCCCATAATCCCCGGAAATAACCAAATCCTATTTGGGGTTAGTCAGATTTAATGAAACAGTGGAAGAGGACAACCCAAAGCAGGTCCATTTGCCAGCTGCTGGGGGAAACACTGTAATCAGAGATCACAACAACAATGCTTCTAATCTGCACAGCCAAAAGAAACATGAACTCTCAGCTACCCAGCAAAATGTGACAGGAAAAAGCTCTGGGAAGGCTGTAGTAGATAAACGTGCTCTCACAATCAAGCCACCTTATCCCACCATATCCCAGACATGACTGGTTCGTAATTTGAATTTTCCAAGATCAAATTCAATCAGCAATCCAAACCCTATTTTTTCTAACCAGTTAATCTCTATAAAATCACAGTTCTTGCATTCATTCAAAATTTCTATGGAATGTGGCACTCAGAATACTACAAAAGCCAGCAACACAGTCTCTACTCACATAGAGCTAAGTCCGGAGCACTGTACCTCATGTGACTTAAACTCCAAAGCTCTAGTTTTATAAAAAGCTTCCTGTAATCCCAGTGCTCAGAAGGTGAGGTTAGATCACTTCCAAGCCAGCCTGAACTACACAGTGAGTTCAAAAGCAGCCTGGGATACATAACAAGACTGTAGTTACAAAAAAAAAAAAAAAAAACAGAACACCACACAAACGCATCCCTTCCTGGATGAAACAAGTGTCCTTGGAGAAAGGGACGGAAGCTAAAATAAAACCGTATCTCCACGTTCTGCGCCCACAGGAGAGAAGCCAGCAGCACATCCTTCTTCAAAGTGGTATGTGAAAATAATTTTAGCCTACACACAGGCTGAGGTTCAGGGAAAGAGCCAGGGGTGAGACAGACAACCGTAAGATGCAAATCAAGAAATAAACTGCAAGGGGGGCTGACAGCTGTGCCCCCACCGCGGCCAGCGCAGGGAGAAGCGTGCGAGGCGGCCCGCCCCGGACAGGCACCGTGCGCAGGAGCCCCACTCTCAGCGGCCCGCCTCACTGGCTACAGCATCTGGCTGGCCGGACAGCACTGCCTCACCGCCGCCAGAAAGAGGGGTGCGCTGCAGGAGAGCGAGCGCAGGCTGGGCACGCGTCCGCCCGCCGGAACCCACGCGGTTCCGAGCGAAGTTCGGGAGAGGCGGCGGCTGGGCGCTGCCAGAAGCCCCGCCGGCCGCACACTCACCCCGCACGCAGAGCAGCGACATGGCCGAGGCGCCGAGCAGCCTCCGCCGCACCTCGGCGCCGGGCCGCTCCCTCTGCTCTCAGCAGGTGCCGCGCCGCCGCCCGCCGTCCGCCCCGCGGACCGGGCCGCTCTTCATGGTCCCCGTCGCCGGCCGCGTTCCCCGCTCCCTCGGAGCCGCGCGGCTCCTCACGGTCGGAGTGAGCGGAGGAAAGAGCTAAGGCTCCGCCGGCAAACCGGGGGCTGGGCGCGGCCCCGAGGCGCCATAGCTGCGAAGCCTGGGCGACCGGCGAGTCCCTCGGGTCCCTCGGGCCGGGCACCCTGCGAGGGCCTGGGCGGGACCAAGCCTCGGGGCCGCGCCCCCCGGCCAATCCGCTCGCGCCCAGTCTGCCGGCCCCGCCCCCGTCCCCCTCCGTCCTCCTAAGACGGGCGACTGAAAGCAGCTCCTCCCACTGAAAGGCCTTGAAGCGGGGATGGGCGGGGCCGGCCCGCACCTGCGTGCGGCGGGAATTGAAACCTGGAGCTCCTCCCACGTGTGTGCAGTTTCCACACAAAGGACAGGTTCTTTTCGTTGAGGCCTTTGCAGTTGATGTTCTTAATGAGACAGGGCCTCACAATCAAAGAGGCCCTCTCCGGAGTAATTACAAAAGGTTGCGTGGGGGCTGTGGTAGCAAAATTCCAGCTCTTCGGGAGATCGGCAATTCAAGGTCGTCCTTGGCTATGCGGCCAATCTGAGGCCAGCCCGATCTGCACGAAACCCTGTCTTTAAAAAGAGTAGAAAGTGTCTTTCCAAATATTATAGCTATGAATCTGGAGAAGAAAAAAAAAATACTAAACTTTGAGGAAGATTGGAAGCAGGGTCACTCAGCTTCCTAGCGAAGAGATTTCAAAGTCAGTGCTCATTTTTGGGCTGCCGGTGGTTGGAATAGTTCATTTTGGTCGCAGTTCTATATCGAACAAGGAACTGAAGAAGGAGTGAGCGGGCGCGGTGGCTCAAGCCTGGGATCCCAGCACTCAGGGAGGCAGAGGCAGGTGGATGTCTTGTGAGCTCGAGGCCAGCCTGGTCTACAAAGAGAGTCCTGGACAGCCAAGGCTGCACAGAGAAACCCTGTCTCGAAAAACCCAAAGAGGAGAGGGAGAAAAAGAAGAAAAAGGAGTTGAACTTCAAAATGCTGGTACTGAGTTTAGAGAGAACAAACAGAACTGTTATAAAAATCAAGGATTCTTCTAGAGAATGCAGAGGCCAGCGGATGATGAGAGACTGGCAATGCCTTTGCAGCTGCAAATACTAGAGTAGTGGGAAACAATGTAATAAATTTGTGAGGTTTGTACAGTTTAGAGCTAGGCGGATTCAGCCAGTGTATTATCTATCTATTGGCATGTGTATTATCTATTTATAAATAACCCCATAACTTAGTAACTTAAAACAAAGGGCTGGAGAGATGGCTCAGCACTTGAAAGCATTTGCTGCTCTTCAGAGGACCCAGCTCTGGTTCCCAACATCCACATGGCAGTTTCTAGCTGTAACCCCAGTTACAGGAGAGCCAATCACCATTCTTTTCAGTTATTTATTTTTGCCTTCACCTGCATTAGACATGTACGTGATACACAAACATACTTGCAGACAAACATTTATACACATGAAATAAAAATAATCTTTTTTAGGGGGATTCTCTGTGTAGCCTTGGCTAGCCTGGAACTCATTCTGTAGACCAGGCTGGCCTCAGATTCACAGAGAGCCATCTGCCTCTGCCTCCTGTGTGCACCACCACAGCCCTGGGAAGCAATAATATTAAAAAAAAAAAATAGAAGCTTAAGCTGAGAAAGCAGTACAGTTTCCTGAAAAGTCATAATCTTTGCTATCCTAGAATGACAGTACCTCATTTTTTAAAGATTTATTTCATCTTTAATTATGTGTATGTGCATGTATTTGTGTTCAAGGGCCCTCAGAGACCAAAGGAATCAATGACCCTAGAGCTGGAATTCAGACAGTTATGTGTCCTCCAACATGGAGCCAATCTTGGGCCCTCTTAACTGCTGAGCCTTCCATTCCTCCAGGCCCCCCCATCTTTCTTTCCTAATGTGGTCTCTTTACCAATCGTGAGTCATGGAACTGCAAGATGGCTCAGTGGGTAGAGGCGTCTGTCACTTAGATATCTGCTTAATATGCTGGGTGTGGTGGATGGCAGATGCCCATGACCCCAACATTCAGGGGACCAAAACAAGAAGATCAAAATTTGAGCCAAGCCCCTGAACTGTATGTATGTCAAGGAGGAGGGGGAAGAAAAAGGCAAAAAGGGGAGAAAGGAGAGGGAGCGAGGAAAAGAAGATGTTGAGATTACAAGCACTGCACTGGCTTGCAATGATTTATTGTTGTGCATGCATTTCACTTGGGCACAACTGAGAACACAAGTACTCCATAAGGTCACACTGGGGCACAGGACCAGCAGGAACTATTTGGGTTATGAACAAGAGGTGGCCATGGAGATCAGATGATGATGGAGAACAGCAGTCCACAACCTGCGCCAGCATCCCAAGCCTTCGCCATCCATTTCCTGCTCTTGTAGTCTCCATTTACACAAAGTAGCGCACTTGGACTTTTGCTGCATCTTTCTTCTTTTAGGCTTTCTTCAGGCGTTTCTATGTGTAAGCTGGCTCTAGAGCTAAACTCCGAGTGTTTTGGCTGTAAGGAAGCTGTTTTTAAGTTTCAGTCAACTAGCTGCCGGAGGCCAAAACCCACTGGGATATTCCTACCAAAGACATTAGAAACCTTTGCCATATGCTGCCTAGACCTGCCCCATGGCACCATGGCAGATCCTTCTGTCAGCAATCACGTGGCTGGGAATACTCGACCTGGAGGGAAACCGTAAGCAGGTGAAGTTCTTCGAGCACTGTTTTTGGCAGCTGCTATGTCCCCTGGCTTTTGGCAGAGAGTAGTAGCACAGCGGCAATAAACAGGAGGGCACAAGAGACGGTAGCACTAGTGTTAAGCTCCTTGTGTGGGCCTGAGGTGCCAGGGCTCGTAGCCTAACCATGACAGGTGTTACCACTTTTTTGTAGGCCTGGGGTGTCAGAATTCCTCAGTTTGTGTAAGCAGAGCAGCTGCCAGGCCCAGGGCACTGGCAGTCACCGGAGCCTCCCAGCTGCTCATGGTACAGCTCCTGGGTCTACCGCCCAGAACTCAGTGGTACTGGCTCCCAAGCCTGGGGGTCTGAGAGCCCCTCTCTGGAAGCTGTGCTTCTGCCACCAGCATTGCTGTTGTACCGATTGCTGCCACTCAGTTACTGCTGCTCCGCTATCACTGCCCTGGTGCCTCTGCCACTGGAAAGACTGCACAGCTTTCCTGGAGCCAGACTCAAGGCACCACCGTTCCGATGGATGTCCCAACTGGCTACTCTACTGTCGTCTCTGCAGCTGCCACTCTGCTGGAGCAGCTTGTGTGTGTGCATGTGCACCTGTGTGTGTGAGTTTCTGTGAGTGTGTGCATAAGAGTATGTGTGTATGTGTGTGCACATTTGTGTGTGCATGCCTGTGTACCTGAGAGTGTATGTGTGTGACCATGTGTGTGTGTGTAGCCCTAGCTGGCCTAGAACTCATTATGTAGACCAGGCTAGTCCTAAACTCTGAGATCTGTTTGCCTGTGCCTCGCGGGCCCTGAGAATGAAGGCGTGTGCCACCATGACCAGCCTCACTTGGCAGCTTCTTCCTATTACCTGCTCAGTCTGTTCCTGAAGTAAGGAGGAGGAGGGGGAGCATCTCAGGTGACATTATCAAAGAGGAGCCGGAGGAGGTGGCACATGCCTGTAATCCCAGCACTCAGGGGCGACAGAGGCAGGTGGATCTCTGTGAGCTCGAGGCCAGACTGGTCTACAAAGTGACTCCAGGACAGCCAGGGCTACACAGAGAAACCCTGTCTCAAAAAAGTGAAAACAAAAAAAGGTGTCACCCGGTGGCTTACTTCCACATCTAGCCAATAAAGAAAAACAAAAACAAGGGTTAGTGAGATGGCTCAGCCTTGAGCTTGCTTGCTGACAAGCAGGATGGCCTGAGCACAGTCTCTGGACTCCACAGAATCAGAGAAGATGGAAAGCGCCAGCACGTGCGCGCACACACTTCTGCCTGGGTGGAAACTGTTGCTGCCCCTGTCTCATCATAGCAGAAAGTCTGATGCAAACCGCAACAGTCGTGGCTGGGCTCCACAGGAGCCACCATAAGCAGCACCAGTCTTCGTGGCTTCTTGTAGGTGTCTGTGGAATATATGAAATGGCAGGCGCTGACACAAGGGTAGCCTACTGGGGACAGAGACCAGAGGGTCACTGAGTCTTGAAGGCCAGACAGCAAAACTGAAAAAATGGTGACTTCCTGGTTCAGTAAGAGACCTCACCTCAGGGGAGGAAGACAAGAATGGTGGAGCAGGACACCTTAGCTTCATTTCCAGTTGGTGTGATAGAAATATGCTGATGAAAACAATGGAAGGAAATTTGGTTTTGATCACAGTTCCAATTCACAGTCCATCGTATCACGGAAGTCACAGTGGCAGATACCTGAGGGCGGAGTGTGTGTGTGTGTGTGTGTGTGTGTGTGACAGACAGAGACAGAGAGAGCACATTCAGCTCACTTTCTCCACTCTTCTACAAGCCCAAGTAATAGTGTCACCTACATTCAGGTGCGTCTTTCTATAATGTAACTAAGAAAACCCCAAAGCAGGTGAGATGGCTCAGTAGTTAAAAAGGCTCGATGCCAATATTGATGGCCTGAGTTCAAATTCAAACCTGGGACCCAATTAAGAGGAGCGAGGCCAGTCCTACAGGTCGTCTTCCTGTAATAAGAGAATCTTCCTCGAGTGAAGGCTCTTGTCTCCTCCCTGAAGGGTTAATCCCGCGGAGCAGGACGGAGACGGAGCTAGGCCGCCCTCACTAGGAAGGCAGGCTCATCTTGAGATAAGGTGCTTTCTTCCCAGCGTTCCCTCCGCTAGTGAAGTCCCTGAGAGCCACCGTGAGGTTCTTGTAGCTCTGTCCGCCTTTCTGAGGCCTGACCTAGAAAAGTGTACCCATTTCTTTTTCTTTCAGAGTCCAAACTCCCCGATTAGCGCGGTGTGCTTCCTAAAGCTCTCCTCCAGACGGCGCTGCCCGCCACCCGGCGGTGCTGAAGCCCTACACTTAGCTTACAGTTAGCTTTCCATCCCGGGCCGAGGCGCCTACTTAACATCAGCCCCGGCTGCTAGGTTCTCCGTCTCCCTTCGCTCCTACCTGCTACAGGGCCCTCCTTGCGGCCCCTTGCCTTAAACTCTCCAGC